TGGTCACCATCTAATGCTCACAGTCGATCACAGCTCTAAGCCGACTCAACCAATCCATACCCACTATGACACAGACATCACCCATCGCTATTAGTACCAGGTCTATCGGGGAATCAACACCAAAAATCTCTATTACACATTCCCGTAATACATCAGTGGCAAAATCCGCATGCTCTTTGGCTATAGAAACCCTCAGAGGTCGACTCAACGCCTCACATCGGATACTGATATGACAACTAAAAGCTAAAGACATGAAGGATCGACTCACACCTGAGTCAAATAACACCAAAGCCGGTACATAACTCACAAGAAAAGTACCTATATACAACACAATATAAGCACAACAAATCTTAAAATAATATAAATAAGGAAATACGTATCAGCCACGACATCAGGTACTGCGTAGACCTCCTCCGCTGTCAGCTGAAAAGCTCTCCCACGAGCCCTCGGTGTCTCGACCTTCGTTGGCCGACTATCAATAACACGTAAAGCAGCATAAGCAGAACCCTGGGCGGATCCATGAATGAGTTGAGGGCACTTGGCCTTCCGATGGTCGATCTGGTTGCAGTGAAAGCAAACTACAAACCCCTTGGGGCAATCCTTCTCCATGTGCCCTCTTTGCCACATTTGTAGAAAATCCCTGCCCGGCATGATCTCTCGTGACTCTTTCCACACTTTCCACTAGTGCGGCCCTTCTGACCCCCAGCTCCCGGACATTGTCGGCTGCGACTGTGTTGGTCTCCTGTCTCTACCCCGAGACTCCTCCTCCTCCTCCTCTCTGGTCCTTAACTCTAGCTCAATCTCCCTCCTCCTGACATTTTTCTGAAGCTCAGCCAATGTCCGATATGACGAGTTCGCCACGAACTCCCGAATGTCTCTCCTCAAGATGCTCAAATACCGACTCACACGTGCCTGCTCACTGGACACGTGCTCAAGGCATAACAACGCCCCTCTCATGGAACATCCTCGTAATTTCAGTCACTGACTCTATCTTCTGTTTGAGAGATAGAAATTCTTGTGCCAAACGGTCCCTCTCCACCGGGGGAGCATACTCGTCTCGGAACAACAGTATGAACCTCTCCTACGTCACCGCAGCATGGTCTGCGGGAGTAAAACTGGTAGTCACAAACTTCCACCAATCCTTCACTCCCAAGCGAAGCTAGTCCAACGCAAACCGAGTCACCTCCCAATCTAGTGGCTTCGTGTTGCTGAACTTCTGGAACAATAATGAGTCACCTCCCTGTGGCCTGGTTGCAGCAACAACTGCGGTGGCTACAACAGCAGCAACAACCTCAGTAACAACAACATATTGCTCATCGAATGTCTCAATCAATGTGGTCTTAATAGACCCAAACATCTCTGGTATCGCCTCCCGAATGGCTGTGGCACTTCCTCCGCAATGATCATGTGGATCTCCTTATCACTGGTCCCACTTCTCCCTAGGTTGTGGTGTGTACCCACCATAATGTCTCTAAAACACAACACAAAAATCATCAGAGACTAGCTCGAGTATACTCACACTCGATTACCCGTCCCTACATGCTCCTTAGCATCCTAAGGATTCTTACTTGGTTCGCATACAAATCCGGTGCTTTTAGTAGTACAAGTCCAATACTAACTTCCACACCAACCTGTAGTCACCCCAAGTCCTCCTCCTAGGATTCTAATTCACAAGTACTCTATCTCTCACGAATAACAGAATACTCTCTCAGTAGACCCCTCATATGCCCATCTAGGTATCTATCCTAGATTATCCCTTGACTCATAACTCACTTCTTAGTGATTCCTGCTAGATACTCTTTAATCAGCACATACTCAAGGCAAATAACAGATAACATCGATCAATAGCATCTCCTAAGCTAAGACATCACGAATCAGGCAACTCTAGCCCTAAAATATAAAATACCTCGTCTATCATCTAGCATGCATCCCTAATATCTCATGAATATCTCATAACACAGATAAGTAAGGGTATTTTAGGAAATCACCTTTCAGGCTCTGGCTTATTGTACACACTGCTCCAACTCGTTTTTCTCTTAAAACTCTTTCTCATTTTAGAAAAATCATTTCTTTTGAAATTTTTTCTCAAATCCTCAGTTTGAGTCTAAACACACCCGAAGGTACATCTGAATCCCTCAAACCAAGGCTCTGATACCAACTTGTAACACTATAAATTTTCAAACAAAATTCTCATTTTAAAATCACATGAATCTCATCAACACAATTCACAAATCCCCAAAATGACAATTTATCAAAAAAAAAAAAAAAAAACACATTCATAATTGTTTAAACAAAATCCAGGATCCTCAAAAACATAACTCCATCTTGTGTATACAATCAAGCCGATACCTTCCCGTGATCCTGAGAAGTACCTGAAACACATAACACATAACACGGTAAGCACGAAGCTTAGTGAGTTGCCTAAAATACCACACACATCTCATTAGCCTCTCATGGCTATATCTCGAATAGACCCTCCGATCAATGTGTCTCAGTGGAACCCTCCGGTCCCACAACTCGGGTGGACCCTCTGGTCCTAACTCAGCTCAGAATAATACACAACATAAATCACAAAGACATAATGCATGATATCACAATACTCAATAAAGCATACAAGACCCTCCGGTCACACAAAAATTACCACTCTAGGTAAGTATAGTGAGACGACTCACCTCGTAAGCAAGCAAATAAACCTCGTACACGAATCACTAGTCTAGCCTCCGCCTAACACATATGATAATTACCTCTAATTAATAAACTAACCTCAAAGAAGCTAGGATAAACCCTCTACAAACTCACAGAAGGATAAAAGACCATTTTACCCTTCCATGGCCTCTATAGTCCATAATTTGACCAAACCCTAAAAGTTAACTGCAGCGCATACAACCAATTTACGTTGGTCGTACTACCTCGCCATGTATACATTGGGAACCTCGACTCTACATTGCACATATTGGGATTACGCTCAGCGTACGTCCTAGACTTGTTCTTCTTACTCTCTTGGTCTTAATCCGTTAACCATAACTCTAATCTCAGATTTGGACTTCCTAAAGGCTCATACTCCATAAGGTTCGTGACTTTAAGCCTTTGCATGGCTGAGAAAGTCCCAAACCTAAAAAATCTCACTTTTTTCTCCTATAAATGCTCATATCTCATGCATGGGTGGTTTTGACGTCCAATACTCCATTTTTATGAATCCACTCCATTAAAAACACTCAAAGGGACAAATATTAGGCTCTGGAGTTCAACAACTCATAAAGCTTCAGGCTTTGGGACCAAAAACCCTAAAATGGACCATATTATGCACAAATCAAAAAGGATGAGAAAGCTTTGAGCTTTATAACTTCAAATGATGCTCCAACCACAGAAAAGCTCAAATCTAAATCTTGGACTCCAACTCTATTCTCTTCAATGCTCCTTCTTCACTCCAAGGATACCACAAGAACACTGAGAAGCTCATAAATGGACACTTAGGCTCAAGGGACGAAAATTAGGGTTTTGAGAGGGTTAAGGGCTGGAAATGGTGGCCAGAAATGAGGCCATCATGTTCCTTAAATAGGGAAACACCCCCACAATTAGGGTTTTCACTCCGAACCTAGTACGCCCAATGTACCCTCTGGTATGCCCAGCGTACTAGGTGTCTTCCACATCCAAATCACGCACATGAGTACGTTGAGCGTACACACACGTATGCCCTGCATACTCATTTACCACCTTTTCTCAAATAAAGAGCCAAACTTGACAATTACAATAAAACAAGGTTAATGAGATATACATGGTCTTTGGATGTTATATGGGTGCAATAGGCATATTATTGTACTTGGCCTAATGTACTAGACCAGATGTCTCATTTGATGTGTACTGTCTTGCTCGACACCACATTGTACCAACACGCTACCACCGAAATGGTATCAAAGACATCTTCCGTTACCTTAAAGGTATTATGGATATGAGTTTATTATATCCCTACGTGTCATCGATTGGATCTACCCTAAATAATATTCGAAATAATGTGACCCTTGTCGGCTATGTCGATACAGGTTATCAGACCCACATAAAGGATGTTCCGAATCTGGTTATGTCTTTACCATACGGAACATGGCTATCCTAAAGGTCTTGTAAATAAAATCTAGTTGTTGATTCGATAAATCACTCCAAACTACCCGTGCTATATGAGGCAACTAGAGAGCATGTATGGATTCGAGCTGTAATTGGTCATATTTGAAGTACATGTAATTTAGCTTATGATCCTAATGACCTAGTTATCATATATGCAGATAACAAGTGAAACATGGTTACATCAAAAGGAAATACACTAAGCACATCTTGCCAAAATTGCTCTTTACACATGAGAACAAGCAATCCAAAAGATTAAAGTGAAACATATTGGATTAGAGAAGAATCATACAAACATATTCATCAAGTCAATGCCAAAGTTTTCGTTCCAAAAACATGTCAGAGCTATTGGACGTAGGAACCTCACTGAGCTACCTAAATGACATGTATCATGCACCAAGTTGTGTGCAAGTAAGGATTGCATTATGATGTATGCTTAACACCCTTTAAGAGTATCTACAATCCCATATCTCATTCTCACAATCTCACTAATGGTCAATGAAACCATAAGAGTATCTGGTTGGAATACTTCTTTAATTATTGTATACTCTTTGGTCTTTTGTTTAGAGTTTTTGTGCCACCAAATTTTATATTCTAACAGAAGTGGGACACTTCATGTATACTTATTGACTTATTTCATTTGCTCAAAGACATCCAAGATAACTAAATATATTTATATATTATTGCAGTGTAACTCGACGTAAAGAGGAAGTTCAAGACTCTTGGGCTCTGAGTGTCACTGGGACTTGCGTCCTTCCAAGTCTCTCCGGCGTCATCTCTAGCGCGCCGCCGTCGTTGGCGTCCTAGATTTGCCTTTGATTTCATTTACATGCTCAATTGTCTCCATAGAGTGGTTAGTGAACGATAAAATCGTATGCAATATCATGGCTGTCATCGCTGTTTCTAGCTTCGTCTCCTTACTATTCGTCGCTTCAATCTCCATTTCATTGGTTGCAAGTGAGAATCGTAATTTCCGCGGTGCAGTTTTCAGCGTGAATTCCAAATTCTCAAAGAAGGATCGGTCACTTAGCGTTCTTAAAGCTCATGATAGTCTCCGTCACCTTCAAATGCTAGCCTCCGGCGTCGACCTCCCTCTAGGTGGAACCAGTCGTCCTGATGCGGTTGGGTATGCATACACTCTATCTCTGCTTTTATCGTGTATTGTATCTCCTAAGACTGTAATCATGCTTTATTCATTTCGAGTTTCCTTGATCGAATATGAAATTCGAATTTCAGAAAACGATTTTGAAGTTTATTCAGAACTAGGGCTTGTATACAGGTGTAATATTCTAAGTTACATACTGATCGATAACAACAATTGATATAACTCATAAAAATCGATTTCAAAAACGAGGTCTACATTCAGTTTACGATTCACATTATACTTTCATGAATGTGATACGTAACCCTAATTGTCACAGGCTTTACTATACCAAAATCGGAATCGGAACACCACCAAATGAATACTATGTGCAAGTAGATACAGGAAGTGACATAATGTGGATCAATTGCATACAATGCCAAGGATGCCCTGAGAAAGGCTATAATGGGGTAATATACACGATCATCTTCTTTCATCCTCATAGCTTCTAAACACGATTTAACCTTCTCTATATCCAACAGCTGGACCTTACACTCTACAATCCAAATGATTCATTTACTGGAAGACCTGTGACATGTCATGAAGAGTTTTGTGTAGACATCAATGGTGGAAAAGTTGGTGGTTGCAAAGGCAACACATCTTGTCTGTATACAGAGACTTACGAAGATGGAAGTGATAGTATTGGTTACTTTGTCAAAGATGTTGTTCAATATGACAGTGTATCAGGTGACTTCGAAATTAAGCTTGCAAATGGAAGTATTGTTTTTGGGTACATGATCTTCATCTTTAATCTTTATCATTTTTGATATCTCTTAATTCTTTTGTAATATGATTGTTTATAATCAGGTGTGGTGCTACACAATCTGGCAACCTAGGTTCTTCAGAAGCACTCGATGGGATTCTTGGATTTGGAAAATCAAATGCATCTGTAATATCACAACTTGCATCTTCAGGGAAATTAAAAAAAATGTTTGCACATTGTTTAAATGGTGATAATAATGGAGGTGGGATTTTTGCAATTGGGAATGTTGTTCAACCGAAAGTTAATTCAACTCATTTGATTCAAGATCAGTGAGTGATAATATCATAATTTGATAATTAACATCTTTCTTTTATAAGTATTATCTATATTCTTATTTGAAATTCAGAAAAGTTTGTGGGTTTTATAAAATGATAGGCCACATTACAGTGTAAATGTAATGGGAATTGAAGTAGGTGAAGAGTTTTTGAATATTTCAATGGATTCATATGGAAGAGTAGAAAAGAGAAAGGCAATAATAGATAGTGGTACAACATTGGCATATTTACCAGAAGTGATATACAAGCAATTGGTGAATAAGGTGATGACTTAAAAGTTAAAAAATAAATTAATTCATTTATCTTTTTTTAATTATTTATATTTTTGTTGTTATCGGTTTTTTTGTTTAGATAGTTGAAGGAAAGTTTGATATGAGGTTAAGTATTCTTCACGACCAGTATACGTGCTTTAAATTCTCTGGAAGGTAGTGTTTTATGAAACTTTCTAACAAGTTAAGGGTCTTTTTTGTAAATTTTGAGGCTTTTAACATAACCTTTGTTTTGTATTAAAGCGATAATATATAATAATAGTATTAATATTTAATAATAATAATTTTGTTTGATATATTGTGTAGTGTTGATGATGGATTTCCTGAGGTCACATTTTATTTTGAAAATTCACTTTCTTTGAAGGTTTATCCTCATGATTATTTATTTAACTATGTAAGTATCTTCTATCTTTTAACCCCTTTATGCCTGATATATTATTTATTTTTTTTTTTTTTTATTATCATTAAGCTTTTTTATAAAACGAATTAATAAGTAGCAACATGTTTGTAGGAAGATTTCTTGTGTTTTGGGTGGCAAAACCATGGAATGGATTCCATTAGTTCAAGAGACATAATTATATTAGGAGGTAAATACTTTATTATTATTATTATTATTATTACATTAATAAAAATTACAATCATACTTATTTATTTATTATTTTATTTTTCAGATTTGGTACTCTCGAATAAACTGGTTTTGTATGATCTTGAAAACCAAAAAATTGGATGGATCGAATATAACTGTGAGTCTTATGTCTTTGAATATTCTTATTCTATCACTACTGAAATTTATTATTTATTTATGATTTATTATTTATATTTATTTGTTTTTATATATTGTTTTAGGCTCTACAAATATCACACTGAAAGATGAAATCACTGGATTGGTACATTTGGTTGGTTCTCATAATATATCATGTTCATGTAGTTTTAATGTTCATAGGGCTATGGTATTATTAATCTTGTTATCAATTGCTCTATTAAACCTTATGATACAATAAGTTTTCACATAAATAATCCAAATAGGAATACATGATTAATGAATTTATATAATGGTAAAAGTATTATGATCGATCGAAAGTTTATAACTATGGAACAAAACTTAAACTTTAGTGGTTAAGCCTCACATTTTTTTGAGATATTTAAATGATACAAGATTATATGTTGGTTACTATTTAATGAAATTATTTTAAATGTATTGTCACGTCATTACTTATCATGTGATCGTCAGATCGTTAGTCTAACATGTAGAGCAAGAGCATCCATAGTAAAAGAGATTTGGATAAGTTTTTAATGAAAAAACTTAAATTGAAAAATCTCATTTTTATCTCCAATACGTTTCAATTTGCTTATTTACAAGATCTACAAATATATTATCTTTTTATAATTAGTTGAAAACCTATAAGACCCCGTCTAAACATTGAAAAAGTCTTACCAAGACTTTGTTAATTAACAAACTCCTTAAAAAAACTTTGGTTTGGAAATAGTTTTTAAATTTCAAAGACTTTTCGTTTGAAAAACACTTTTAAAAAAACTCTAGAAAAGCTCATATTGTAGATGTTTTAGATCATAACAATAGGAATCTTTGAAAGTTTTTTTAAACAAAACGATTCTTGAAAATTGGAAAAGCTATTGTAGCAGCTTTTTCAAACCAAAGTTAGTTGAAGAACTTGTTAATTAACAAGAATAAACAACTTATACACCAACAATAAAATAATAATAAAAAAACTACAACTAAAATTGATCTTAAAAAATTAATAAATTGAAAAAATCTCATAGCGTGGAGAAATAAAATGAACTTTTTTCATTTGAAGTAATGATTTAAACAATATCTAAAAAAAAGGATTAAGTAGATGTAACAAATCTTTTATGACATTATCTCAAAATACTTGACATACATTGAATAACTCTTAATTACTCACATTGATAATACCAAGTTGAAGGCTTCAATGCATACATGGTATGAGAGTATTTAAAAGACATCTCTTCAAAAGGCTCCAATGGTGAACCATTGTTAAGAACACAATCGTTTTGACCCAACACTCTGAAAATCATAGGGTTCACTAAACCTTGTGAAAAGTTTCCACATTCTACATGAACGTCAATCACCGGGCAGGTCGGGCAGGTGTTTTTGACCTCAACAGTGTACGTGGGTGGCTTCTTGAACCCGGTTTGGGTTTGCCTTACACTCGGACCATTTCTTTCGCACCTTTCTCCATTCCCTGCACATTTACATTTCTCTCCTTAGTTACAAAATTCACACACAAAGAGAGAGAGAGAGAGAGAGAGAGAGAGAGAGAGAGAGAGAGAGAGAGAGAGAGAGAGAGATGACCGATGTGAAGTAGAAGGGTAAGTGAGAGAGAAGTCCAAAAGATGAGCTTGGAGAATTCTAGATTGCTTGACATCTCTAGTTACAATGGAACTCCAAACTTCAAAATGCTACTCTACACATGTGAAAAAAGTACATATGTTAGGCTTTGGGGTAAAAGGATGTCACGATTGATTTTTTACCATTTCACACCACTCTCCTAGGTTGTAGAAATGGTATTCACCAATAAGTTCACGGGCGTAGCTATTGATGGTGGGTCCTAGAAACTACCATTTTTCTTTTTTTATAATACAACAATTATATATGAAAAAACATAAATAATTATCTTATTTTTGCCAAAAAACCTATATTTTCATATTTTTTCCGTTTCGTTTATATAAGGAACCATATTGATTATGGTTTTTGGTTCGCCACTGGATGGATTGGTGGTGAAGAGGCAAAAAGAAGAGAAAGAAAGAAACATATCTATCTGCTTCTTATTGGATGTCTTCTTCCATCTTCATGGAGACGCTACAGCCAAGCCACCGGAGATTGGGACGGTGTTCATGTATCCTTTGGGCTGCCACATAGACTTTCACTTGTGATTTGAGACTTGATTCCGGATAGCCTTGTCGAGTGGAAATAGAATGATTTTTTTATGACTAAAGTATGTGTACTCACTCTCGTTAAAATAACCCAATAATATATGAAAGACAAAAGGATAAAAGAAAATGAATAGGTTAATTAGTTAATCATTAAGTTCAACAAAAAACGACAAGTTTTTTTTTTTTTTTTTTTTTTTTTTTTTTTTTTTTTTGAAAAAAAGATAGTAATGTTTCTTTAGTAGATTAAAAACAACAAGTAATTTTTTTAAAAAAAGAATTTATTATAAAGTTGAGCTGCAAATGATTAAAAAAAAAAAAAAAAAACTGAAAATAAAATTTTGTAAAGATTTTTGTGTCTATAAAAAGATGAGATAGCATACGACAAGAGTAATTGGAAGGTTGTTACTTGGAAGGATACGATGGGGGAGAATCAGCTCTGCCACCTCTGCATGTCTTTGATATAAGGTTTAATAAAAAAATGTCAAATAATGGGTTAAAATGTTAAATATCATGTGCAAAATTCAGAAAAATCTTATGTTTATTAATTTTAATTTGAAATATAATTACATTACTTTTTTTCTTTAAAGTTGTTATATTTTTAGCATTTTTTAAGAAAATCATTGATGATAATTACATTACTTTTTTTTTTCTTTAAAGTTATTATATTTTTAGCATTTTTTAAGAAAGTCATTGCAATACGTTATAAAGTTACAAGTTATTAATATGTCGTGTGATTTAATATTTCAGGGTGTAAACAAACCAAATGTTCAATAGATTGTTTATGAACCGTTTGTTAGAAAATTCGTTTATTTAATAAATGAAAGAATATTAACATAAATTTTCGTTCGTTTAATTAAATGAATGAAATAAACAATGATCTTATTCGTTCAATTATGCTCATAAACGCTTGTTTATATTATTCGCTTATGTTGGTTTATGTTCGTTCTATGTTTATATATAATTTATGTTCAATTATATTTGATTACATTGCTATATTATATATTTGTTAATGTTTATATATGTTTGTTTATATCCATTCGTTTATGTTTGTTTAGCATGTTCACGAATGTGAACAATGTAATTTATTAAAGTCACAAACACAAACAAGAAAACTCATTTGTTTATATGGTCATGTTCGTTCATTTGTTTGGCTAGCTTTAAACGAACGAAAATGAACAACTCTCGTTTATGTTCGCTTTGTTCATTTATATCCCTAAATATATATTTGAAACAACTATTGTGATTTAAAATTTTTGATATTATTATTTTTCTAGTTTTGCAATGTTTTTTTTTTTGAACACTTTGTTATTTTAGTTATATTTTTTTTGTTTCTAAAAAGATTTAGTCTTTTCGATTTCATTATTCAGTTATGTTTTCTTGTGTTTTTAAAAACAATTTGATTTTCAGTTTTTCCGTTTTTCAAATTTATGATTTTACAATCAAATGTTTGGATTTATAAAATTGTTAGGTTTTCCATATATGTTATTTTTATATATCAAAATATCATATTTGCCTAAATCTTTTTTTACAATGTTTTTAATAGTTTATAATCATTTTTATATCATAGAATATAATAATTACAAATTTTAACCATATTATCTTTACATTTATAATAATAAAGAGTCTACTTCTAAATTATTTGATTGTTGCTCTCTTGACAAACAAAATATTTCATCTCGAGCCCTCTTTAGAGAATATATACATTGGTTGCTTAGTTTTTTATTGTTGAATATTGTGATGTTGTACGTTGATGATATTTAGATATTATTATTGATATTTTAATGTTTAAGACTGACTTATATAATATTTTGATATTTTAAAATCACTAATATACAATAATTTAAAATTTTATGAAAGGTAAATATAATATTTAGAAATTAAGATGTAACAACGTAAATTTTCAAACAAAATTTTCATTTTAAAACACAATAAAACTCATTTTACATCTTCTCAAAAACTACAAGTGTCACCAATGTTAACAAATCCACAAATAAAAATCACTATCCCAGAATCATAAAAATAATCTCGCTCCAGTTTGTACTATCAAGTCGGTGCCTTCCCGTGATTTTGAGAGGTACCTAAAACACATAACACATAACACGGTAAGCACGAAGCTTAATGAGTTCCCCAAAATACCACACGTATCTCATTAGCCTCTCATGACAATGCTCAAATAAGACCCTCCGGTCAATGTGTAATACCGTGAAAATTTACAACCAATTTAAACTTTTCAAAAAACAACCTATATTCATTAAGTTATTACAAAAAGGTTTTCAATTCTTTTATTATTAGAGTATCCCATAACATCAACATAAAACTGAGGAGCGGTACGATCACGCCTTCGCCTTGCCACGGTCTCCTGAAGTACCTGAAACAATACACTGAAACTGTAAGCCCGAAAGCTTAGTGAGTTACCCCCAAAATACCAACCACAATACTATACACATATCATATCATATCATAAACAGAACAGCCATGCATATCTAGTCTATAGTGTGACTGGTCCGCCTGCACCAGGCCTTCAGTACACCCGGTCCACTCTCTCTCCGAATCTACAGTATGACTGGTCCGCCCGCACCGGGCCTTCAGTCTGTCTGGTCCACTCTCTGAGTCTCAGCACATCTGGTCCTCCCCCTTGGGGCCTTCAGCCCATCCGGACCGCTCGATGGGCCTTCGATCTAACCGGTCCACCTTGGGTATGTTGGCCTACAGCACAAAGCAAGACCCACCTCAACCTAACCCAATTTAACAACAATGTGCACATAAATATATAATCATATAGAAATTCACAGCTAATCAACCGATCTAGCATATCACATAACATAGCAACATCCTAACCAGGATACCAACCTAATCGGTCACTAACATAACATCATCCTATATTCCAGGATACCGACCTTAACCAGGTCTCTAACATATACCATCCTATCTACCAGGATGCAAACATAGCAAAGCAATAACATAACAAACAACTACCCGGATTCTCACCCGATAAAGGGCTGACCTTGGTGCCTTAGACCCTGTCGATATAGTGAGGATAACTCACCTACAACTCCCGACTTGAAGAAATAAGACCACGCTGCTCCGACCACCAGCATGAACTCCACCACTAATCATTACCAAATAACCAAAACCAATAAACACCAATAATTACCAAAATACCCTTGGAAGTCAAACTGGTCAACCCTTGGTCCAAGTCAAAGTCAACCTTCCTGGTTGACCTTACTCACCGAGTCAACCCGTTGACTCGTCGAGTTCCTATGCTCAGAAACTCCCATGCTACGACTCAACTCGACGAGTCGCCCTAAGACTCGTCGAGTCCAATAAGCTCTGAGTCCCTTCCTGCTCAACTCACCTAGTCATCCCTCGACTCACCGATTCACAGCTCAACCAGAACAGGTTAGGACTTCACGACCAGACTCGTCGAGTCCAATTATAGACTCATTGAGTCTAAGGCAATCCTCAACAGACTCGCCGAGTTATTCTTCCAACTCGCCGAGTCCATGCACATAATCATACAACTCGTCGAGCGCACCCATGTGACTCGCCGAGTCTCTTCAGTTCTCATTCCATACAAAGGCTTTTCAAGCCATGTAGGGACTCTAATCCATAGATCCACTCTTCTATAGCCTAACCCTCACATAAAGTTGTAAACTTTACGTGAAAGCAAGGAGATATAAGGCCAAAACAATTCTAGGGATAGGGTTAAAGACAAAGGGCTTCACCAATAACTCTTAGACAGGAACTTTATGACCTTTTGGGCCATCACAAGTCTAGAGCTGAAGTAGAAACTTCACATCTAAGCCTCAAACTCGAGATAGCTCCCAAACAAGCTAATGAATCCCAAATCAACCACCATTCATGAATCAATAATGAAATAGCTTAAGGAGGAGATTCCTTACCCCTGAAATGTGACCAGATAGAAGTAGATTCCAGATCTACCCAAGCCCCTTGATGATGGCCTCCAAATCCCCAAGCTTCTTACACTAAATTTCTTTTCCAAGCTCTAATTCTTAATCAATGGAGTCACACACACGAGATGAGGGTTTCTGGATCTCAAATGGGTAGCAAAGAGGCTGAATGTGGGTTATAATGTGCTTTATATAGGGCACAACCCCTGGATTAGGATTTTCTCCCTTCAGCACCAACTCGCCGAGTCCATCTGCCGATTCGCCAAGTTGGTCACTTAACATGTGACCAGAATCGCGACTTGACTCACCAAGTCTACCCATTGAATCGCCGAGTCGACCTTCCTTATTTACACTAAGAACCCTGAACTTGCACTTCTAAACTCGGGGTGTTACAATTCTCCCCCACTTAAATTAGGCTTCGTTCTCGAAGCTTGCAGCAACACATTTCCAGATAATACTCCCACATTACAACTCCTGGTCTCAATCGACTCAGGTTCCTTCAAATATTGTTAACAAATCTCAATAAAACCCAACTCTTCCCTTACAGAGTCATGAAACTTGCTTCAAACCAACCACCGGCTTCTTCCTGATAAACACATCAACTAAGTATCACTCGATGATACTTCCATCATTCCAACTCACCCAATCACTTGTCTCTTACAAAAGTTGGGCATTACTATAAACCACCGGGTCCTGACCAGGTACCAAACTGCTATCCCTTTCCTCGACTGGTATAACTTTTATCGAATTTCACTGTTGGGACTCATTACGCTTTCTTTCTGAATCCTACTCTTTCCTTCCCGCGCTGACCGGATGATACATCCTACCGCCCTTGAGCAGCTCCCATAAGCTCCCATCTACACTCTCATGCCCATATTGTACCTGATCCAACATCCTTGGGCTGGAAAACTCGACACACTGATGATACCTCCAGACATCCTGAGGATGAATTACCACTACATACATAACCTCCTGGTCATAACCATATAGAAAATCCAAGGCCCTATCCTTGCATCCCTTCTGAACTCCTCTGGTTCTACACTACCGGAAATTCTTTCGCAACCTCAACAAACACCCAATCCAGATGTGCTTCCATACCACTGGCACAATCACAGTGCTCGACAACCATAATTGAAATACTCTCAATCATCCATACTCACTTCTGCTTTCAATTCCATGAACCAACACTCCCTC